TTTTTTTTTTGGAAAAATTTCATTTCATTAGAACAAAATTATATACTCAAATTAGTAACGAGTGAGCACTACTTACAATAGAATTCAACCTCAAATATTGACTGGATCCACCAATACAAACAGATGAAGCACAAAGATAAAACACAAGTGCCGAGACCCAACAGAAAAAGACCTGCTTGACATATAAAGATTGTGCGTGACTAAAGCTCGTTAGACAAAAATATTACAATTGATGGATTAACCCAATCGGCCAAGACCAAACCCCAAATAATGGGGACATAAGCGACACGATATAAAATCAAATCTAATATAATACCATCACCCATGTTATTCATAAATGGGTTGAGATACATTCACAAAGTCAGAAGACAGAAAACTCACTTTCGTTATTATAGAACTAACACAATAATAAAACAACATAAACTAACACTAATAAAGCGGAAATATCAATGCCTTTAATACAAAATAATAAAAATAACGAAAAAGCAAATAGCCATATTACTCTTAATCATTAGGTTTTCTTAGAAAACAACTGGATAATTCAGTGTAGGTATTAAAACGTGTGAATGATATGAAATTGTTGAATTTATAGTAGTAGCAAATAACTTCTTATATATAATTTTGTGTTAGTGAGATTGCAATATTGGGTATGTTTGTGAGAACTTTTTAAAAGCTGTTTTTAATTTCCTAGGTTCAAAAGCTGCTTCTGAAAGTGTTTGGATGATCTCTTAGAAGTATTTTGGCTTTTCAAAAGAACTTCCAGTCAAAACTAAAAATTGAGGCTTCTAAAAAAAAAAAACACTTTTGAATAGACTTTGAAACTTGTACAAGAGTTTAATTAAGGCATTATAAACTTAATTCTAGCATTTTTATTGCTTATTAGAAAATGTAAAAATCATTTTGACCCGTTAAGCTCTTTGTTCTAAATACTTACTGAAAATCATAACTTTTGCTTCTCTTATTCTACTGGCTAAAAATAAAAGTAAAAACTCTGCCAAACGGGCCCATTGTCTAACTCAATTGAGAATAGGGAGAAAGAGGAAAATAGGCCAAGACTTGAGATGAATTAAAATTAATAGACAAATAGTTTACATAAGTTAATAAATAAGCCAAATTATTGTTTTTGTCCATAACTTGTCTGGTTATGAACCATAACTTGACAAGTTATTGTCTATAACTTGACAAGTTTGTCCATAACTTATCTGGTTATGAACCATAACTTAACAAGTTATGGCATATTAATTTCTATAACTAAAAATTGGCCTATAAACTTTCTTAAGCTTTTCATATTGGCATATTTTCTACTATTTCTGTTGAGAATAGTTTATCTTGATAATTAAAGTAATATTGGTCTTGTAGCACAAGCTTAGGGTCCGTTTAGTTCTCTAATTTGAATTTTTAATTTGAGTTGAGATGTAACTGTTTCTGAGAGCTTTTTACTGTAGCAAAAAAGTGAGATGTGACTGTTTCTGAGAGCTTTTTACTGTAATAAAAGTCAAATTGTAGACTCGAATAAGTGAAATAAACGAAGCCTTGATCTGTACAGCGAAACCCAATAGAAAATTTCCATGTGTGTCAGATGGGTATCTTTTATTTTCATTGAGACTTGTGAGGGTGCGAGGTAGTTGCCTTCATGCCGCCGTGGGGAGAAGAGATGGGGCCACACCGCCTCATAGGTCACCGTCGGACCTCCTCAAGTTTGGGATCACCGACCTTGCAGATGGATTGGGAGACCAACACCTGCAACCTACTCATGATCCATTTGCGAATCTTGCCAGAGTTGGGAGCACGGAGATATGGGTGGGGCAGGCTGGGCTTGCCGGAGGCTGAGAGCCACGGTGGCTGGGACTGACGGGGGCAAGTCGTTGGTTGGGGATGATCGGAGGGGAAGAGACTTAGGCCTCGTTCACTTTGCGGATTCAAGTTTTTAATTCGAGCTGAGATGTGATATTTTTTGAGAGCTTTTTACTGTAGCAGTAAAGTTAGATGTGACATTTTCTAAGAGCTTTTTACTGTAAAAATTTAAAACTAAAAACTCGAATCGGTGAAATGAACGAGGTCTTATTATTCTTTTTCAAATTTTTTTTTAATTTTATTTTATTTAGCAAAAAAAGGTTGTGCTTAGTCTATTATTTGGTGTGAGAGATACCATGTAAACCCTCCCCATGATCTAATATTAATCTTTAGATCTTACCCTACCGGTAGAGGAAATCAAAGCCCCCTAAACTAATACTCCAAGTTTAACCATCTTTGTATTTTTTGTTTAAGAGGAAGCATAATTCAAATTACTAATTTCCGCCGTCAATTGCACTAAATCTTTTTGCTAACTCAAAAGGAGATAGTTGGTGCCCCCACACCTTCATCCAACACTTATAAAATGAATCAACTGGTCCCATCGACGTAATAATCAAGAATTAAATTTATTCTCTATCAATTTATAATTCAAGTTTCATTTGTTAATTACTGACCACTTATATCCATAGTAGATGAGCATTGTCAATTTAAACAATTAAATTGACAAAAAAAAAAAGGAAAAGGGTATAAGTGGAAAAGAAAATTAAAACATTGTTGTTTGTTTCATTGCACTTTTATTATATAGCACATATTAGATTGTAGATAGGGTCTAGATATCGAGTAAATATGCTTGTTCTTTTGGAGTTTAATTTGAGAATAATTTTTGAGTTAAATTTGAGTTATAATTTGAGTTAAAGTTATAACTTGAGTTTGTGTTTGGTTGTGTACATTTGAGTTATGGTTTGAGATAATAATCTTTTTGAGTTTGTGTTTGAGTGAGTCAAAACTTGAATTTGTATTTAGATAGTATTTTAATAAAAACTCAATACTGATGAAAAATTTTAATAGGGTATATGAGTGAGGTTTTATTCGTCTTTTCGTTGTCAACGCATAGAAAAAAAATCATCTCAATCAGAATTAAAATGAAAAAAGTTATAGCAGTTTTAAGAATAGAAAAAACACTGTTCATTAATTTGAGTTCGAGTTTCTGAACTCGAGTTGAAGGGGAAACTTGAACTCGAGTTTTAGTCCCAAACTCGAGTTCAAACTTAAAAGAACATAAACTCGAATAAAGTTGTAATTCGAGTTGCATTTTTTTGAATTTTTCACTCAAAAGAACAAGCCCTAATTTACTAATTCTTAACTAAAAGGAGTTAAACTTTTTTTTTAAATCCGTTTAAAAGATATATTTAAATTATAATATTGATTTTAATATTTAAAATTTAAATTTTTTATAAAAAATACTATAGCAAAATTAATGATTTAAATTTGAGTATAATATGTTCTTAATAAATTGAAAGAAAAGAAAAAAGAAAAACTATTGTTTATTTATTTATATTATTATTATTATTATTATTATTTTTTCACAAGAACTCGTTATTATTTAACATTCACATTTGGCTCCATCCTCCCGATAAAGGAGCAAAATGGGGGAAATGGTGGACCACTTCAAGACGTGGTTGACACTGCCCAATTATCCACCATAGAAATTATCCTTTGTCCTATAGTTCATTTACATGTATTTAAATGTAAAAAAAAAAAAAAAAAATTATTTTTAGATTTTATTTATGGGCAAGTCTATGGTAGGAGGCGGGCCCCTACCAATAGGGTAACATCCGAAGGTCAATAATGATTTTTGGTGAGGGTGTATATAGTCTTGCACACACTGAATTATAGCAAAAACACAACAAAAAAAGAAAAAAGAGGAATAATATATCTTTTGCCTTACGACCCATCACCGCTAAGATGTCCCCTCAATAACCCCGCCCCTTTCACGCCCAACCACCGTGGCTCCCATCCTCCGGCGACTCTCAGCTTTGCCTCGCTCAACTCCGGCGAGATTTGCTCGACTCCGGCGAGATTTGCTAGTTTGCTTCCGAAGCTCTATTATTTTTTGAAAATATCAAAGCTAAAAAAGAAAAAAAAAAAGAGAGAAAAAAGAGTTTATGACATCTTCACTGGCTCTAAAGACAACCCAGAAACGTTCTAAAAAAAAAAAAAAAAAACAAAGACAACTCAGAAACCAAAATTCCTAAACTAGGTGATTAGATCAAGTTGTTCCCCTGGTTTTGGGATCATGTTTTTTGTTTGCTCTTGTTATCAGATGGCCAAACTTGCTTTCTAAATTCATTCCTCCCCTCAAAGTTCATTCATTTTCTTCTTACACAAACAACTCTTCTATGTTCGTCATATCAAGCAGACTCAACGGATTAAAACACAATAATAATATTACATAAAATTCAAAAAATATTACCAAAGATTACAAGGGGGAACTATTTCTTTTTTAAGAACCCAAAAGATGAGTATTCCTTCATTAATCAGAGACTGCCTGTAAAACAAATCAAACAAATTCAGATCATTTATTAGACCCATTCGTTTGATGAACGCTGGAATATGAAGAATTGGAAATACAGAGCCACGACAAAGCCCCAGTCAACGCCAAATCAAACCCAAACAACATAAATCTCATGCTCTTCGTCCTATTAATCAGCGGGTCACTTAATAACGTCAATGAAGTCGTTAGTGATAGTAAACTTGAAGAGGTCTTACAGCGTGACCTCCGGCGTTGAAGAAGACAAGAATGTGGCGGCGATGGAGAGTTGACGGAAAAGACGATGATCTCGAAGGAGGAGAGCTGGGAGGACTTCATTTGATTTGGTGCTGTCGTCGAGGGAGGGCTGTCGCAGGAGGAGGGGCGAGATGCGCCGTCTTCGTGCCGGCGCCGTGGGAGGAGAGGGATTCCATCGGAGGAGATTTGAGATGAATTTTTTTTTTTTTTTTTTAAATGTTTGAGATGAATTTTTTGACTCAGAAGAAAGGATCTATTTAGACGCGGGAGTCTTTATTTTTGTTTCTATGGGAATGGTTATTTTGGGCCATAGATCTTTGATCCAAAGGTGTTTATGATTTCACCCCACCCATAGAGAAATAGAGCTCGCCCAACTGACATACCCATTATTTATAATATAAGTTCTGCTATTTGTGGAGCCACCAAAAGTTTGTTGTTGAGGACAGGCCACACGCTTCGCCTTCACAAATATCTCTTCAGAGTTTAGAGTGTTCCCCATTAGCCTCTTCAAAATTGGGCTCTAAAAATGCTATATTTTCTCGTGGTTTCTCTTTTCTGTCCATGCTTTATGGTAAGTCCATAACTTTACCAGTTCTTCCTAGTAGCATCCATTAGTATCCATTATTTGCTCTAAATTTATTATTATTTTTCTTGATTTCTGCTTACTTATCTCATTTCTAGGTGGAAATTTATTTGCTTTACAAAACCAGAACTTCATATTCTTTTTCTTGAGTCAAAAGACCCGTTTTTGGATTTAAGTTCCTGGGTTTGGAATTCGCTAAATTTTTTCACAACCGGATTGTTATTTCAGAAAATTTGAGGTGACCCAGTTGGGATTTTGCAGATATATTACTGACCCAGATTGAGATTTCATGGACACTTTACTCAAAACACATAATAAGCTTGAATTCTTGCACCCACTACGTGGGTTTTCGGAGAAAGTTGGCAATTCAAACCCATCCAGGCTTCAGGAACTTAGATTTGGACTAAAGAAGCCAAACCCGAAATGGGGTAGGACTGCTTGTGTTAAGGTTAGTAGTAGTGCTCTTCTGGAGCTTGTGCCTGAAACCAAGAAGGAGAATCTAGATTTTGAGCTTCCCTTGTATGACCCGTCAAAGGGTCTTGTGGTGGACCTTGCAGTTGTGGGAGGCGGTCCGGCGGGGCTCGCGGTGGCGCAGCAGGTCTCCGACGCAGGGCTTTCGGTGTGTTTGATTGACCCGTCTCCAAAAGTAATTTGGCCCAATAATTATGGTGTTTGGGTGGATGAATTTGAGGCCATGGATTTGCTTGATTGCCTTGACACCACCTGGTCTGGTGCTGTTGTGTTCATAGATGAAAAATCTAAAAAGGATTTAGGTAGGCCTTATGGGAGGGTTAACAGGAAGCAGCTGAAGTCGAAAGTGATGCAAAAGTGCATATCAAATGGTGTTAAGTTTCACCAGGCTAAAGTTATTAAGGTTATTCATGAGGAGGCTAAGTCACTTTTGATCTGCAATGATGGTGTCACTATTCAGGCTACTGTGGTTCTTGATGCGACTGGCTTTTCAAGATGCCACGTGCAGTATGATGAGCCCTATAATCCAGGTTACCAAGTGGCTTATGGGATTTTGGCCGAAGTTGACGAACACCCGTTTGATGTAGATAAAATGGTATTCATGGACTGGAGAGATTCCCATCTCAACAATAATAAGGAGATAAAAGAAAGGAACAGTAGGATTCCTACTTTTCTATATGCAATGCCCTTTTCGTCCAATAGGATATTTCTTGAAGAAACGTCTTTAGTAGCTCGGCCTGGATTAGCCATGAAGGATATTCAGGAAAGGATGGTTGCTAGGTTAAGACACTTGGGCATAAATGTCAAGAGCATTGAAGAGGATGAACATTGTGTCATTCCAATGGGCGGGCCTCTTCCGGTGCTTCCTCAAAGAGTTGTTGGAATTGGTGGTACAGCAGGGATGGTGCACCCTTCAACTGGTTATATGGTGGCGAGAACTTTGGCGGCAGCACCTATTGTTGCTAATTCCATAGTTCAGTATTTAGGCTCAAATGGAAGCCTTTCGGGACATGAATTATCTGCAGAAGTTTGGAAAGATCTATGGCCCATACAGAGGAGGAGACAAAGGGAGTTCTTCTGTTTCGGTATGGATATTCTGCTTAAGCTTGATTTGCAAGGCACTCGAAGATTTTTTGATGCGTTTTTTGATCTAGAGCCCCATTATTGGCACGGGTTCTTGTCATCTCGACTCTTCCTCCCTGAACTTATACTTTTTGGGCTTTCATTGTTTTCTCATGCCTCCAATACTTGTAGAGTAGAGATCATGGCAAAGGGAACTCTTCCTTTGGCAAAAATGATCAACAATTTGATACAGGATAGAGATTAGGTTGGATATGATATCTAATTTGATGTATGCTGAATGTGTCAATTATCTGCAATTTGGGATTCAAGTTACTGTTGCTTAAAAGGCTGGGAATCAGCTGTAATGCATTTATATTGTATTATATGAAATCCTGTGGTTAATAGAAATTCCTTTTTGGGTGAAACTGTTTTAGAGTGTCGCAATTTTTTTTTGCATAATGTTGCTGCATCTTCCATTCAGGCCAACAGTGTTTCTGTCTGACCATTAAATCAATTAAAGCTTTTTTTTTTTTTTTTTTTTTCTAATTTCCTGGTTAGCAACTACTCTGTTATTGCTTTGTTGCTAAGAAATCTACTAGAAATGGCTCAGTCAATGAGTCAAAAGTTTTCAAAAAAGAGAGGTAAGCTGAAACTCTTGCAGAATTCAGAGGGACAAAAAAGTAAAAATGAAGAAGTTAAAATGACGAATTTGCTTTCCTTTCAAGGATGGTGATATCTCGGAAAATCTTTCCCAGTAGCTTTCTCATATATGAATGTTAAATTTTGAAATATATTTTTTGAAAGGTATTATGTGTCATTTGTTATAACTGGCAGCATTGAGGAAACTATTCAACGGACCTGAAATTTACTTATTATCTAAGCTGAGGGAAAATTCACAGATGTTTTCACTTGCATGATTTAGATATTGCTTGTCAGCAAATGAATGGCAGTAAGGGGTTGATAAGTAGGTTCTTGATATGATATGATATGCTTCAAACCAATAGTAATCTCTGATTTCCAATTGATCTTTTACTTCCACTCAACTAAATGTCATTTTTCCTACAGGGCTTTGTTCCATTCCCATGAAATGATAACTGGCCTAGCGAAAATGTTCTCTTTTGGGCTAGTACTAGCAATTGCTGCTCTTTGCTTTATCAGCTCCTTTTATGTCTTCCAAAGTTGCTGGCATACTACTCGAGTACCCCTGTTTAACCTGACGGGGTTGAACCCGGATCTCTCACAAAGGGTAGGCCGGGCCCTACCTGATTGGACTCAAGTGGGGCCCACCTTTTATGAGAGGTCAAGGGTTCAACCCTGTCTGGTTTATTCTCATTTTTCATCCTAGCTTCGCTGAAATATTCTGTCTGGTTTATTCTCATTTTTCATCCTTACTTTGCTGAAATATTCTTTTGTTTTGGGCTAGTCTGTAAGTTTGGGCCGGGTCAAACAGGTCAACTCGAGGCATGTCACTGTTGGCTCATACCCGACTCGAAGGTGGGTCAAGGTTGCCTAGCCGGCCGGAACACCTTTTAAAAAATTGAAAATACTCTATAAAATTTTAAGCCGAGCCGAGTTGGCTCAAAATTTTCATTCGGGCCCAAATTTCACTTCTGGGCCGGACCTGGGTCAAGAACTTTCATGAAAATCCTGCTATTTTGTTTCTTTTTACTTTTGATATTGCTCCTTTCCAATGATATGATTGGGGGAAAAACCATTGGATTGACCAATAGGGTTCTAGTCTTGCACTGATAATGGTTAGCTGTTCATGTCAATAAGAGTAGCTATTTGTTGACTCCAATGTTCACCCTAAAACCTTTTCAGCTAAAACCTTATTGTCCCATGCTTGTATATTTTTGCGCCACCGTTGCTATTTAAAGGCTTGCATGAAAGTTCTAGACTTCTCTAGAGTGTTCCTTAAATTGACACTCTATGGAACATTTCTAGAAGGCTAAGTGAGATGATCATATTTGATAGAGAATACATCTTTAACAGGAGAACACAAGATGTTTACTTTGGATCTCCTGCGTAAAGATACTATGGATGTGCGTTTTTTTCAGAAACCGAATCCTCCCCTCTTTACGCTCCGTCATCATTTTCATTACATCATTTTCATTAAATTCTAAAATTTTACAAACATGATTCTTACATTTTTTTGAGTATGCCTGCAAAAATTGTTTGTTTCTGAATCGATTTCGGATGCGGAAGCGTGGGGATAACGGATCGTGTATAACAAAAATTTTCATAAAACCTTTGAGATATTCTATAGATTATATTAATTTATGCACGAATAAATTAATCACATTAATCTATTTATTAAGAACTCAATTAGGAATAATACCTAGCGGCCGATTAGGATGATAACTTGAGTTTTTTGACAACAATCCTTGCTCCAAAGCTTTGTGTCTAAAAAACCAATATCTTCCATGTCAATTCCTAGAATCTACGAAAACGTGTGTGTGGGCATACTTGAGACAAAACGGGTAAGAATAAACACTCAAATTTTCACAAACACTAACGCATGCACGATGTGAAATTGTTTGGAGAAAATTTTTCCTATTCACTATATTAGAGAATTTCAGCCACCATATCAAATATAGGTCAAAAATTGTGTTAAAAAATTGTTCTCTTATTTATAGAGTAGAAGTCAAACTTCTAGAATGAATCCAATCTCCAAGATAAAGCTTGTTAATTATCTCATATTTGAATTTGAAACAAAATCTCATCTTTTCTTTTATCCATTATGGCCGGCCATTCATAGGGGATTTTATCCCTGTGTAGGGCGCCAATATCAGATAGGGAAGGAAGAGAAACTCATCATTTATCCTGCAGTCTAATTTTGACCCAAATTCAAATTCTAATATAAGTCAAACTTAAATTAATTTGAATTCTAAATTGAACAACTTATCAAATAAGTTTAAATGGATAAAACTAGATGTGTTCAAATTCAAATTTAAATAATCACATTATTTAAATAATAATTAATTTTCAATTAATTATCTTCGAGTGTTTAATTTTAGAATTCTGTAATTCTAAAATTTTCATTTTGCCTTTTGTGTCTTGTAGAATTACTAGGACGACGCGGGGACTAATGAACCTATAATCCCGAGCTCCAATAAAAGTAATAATTAATTAAACACTTTAATTAATTAATTCTATTAATTCCAGTAGTTACTTCACTATAAACTTGGAATTGCACTCTCGAAATTATAGATATAAATTACTTCTAAACTGTGAAGTGTCCATTCGATATAGTCACTGCATATAGATCAATCATCCATAAATAATTCATAATTAGAGCTAGGTAAAATCCGTTAACCTCTCTAATTATATCTTTATCCTTGAGTACCGTTGATTCTCTAATGGACAGTGATTCATAAAACACATTCATGAATCGGAGCTCCTACTGGTCCAAGTACCGAATCAACCCTCAAGAGAACTATTTATCTACTTCTATCTCAAGAAGGAATGGATTCCATCTCGTATAATAACATTCCCGGCTACCTACTTCATCATGTCTCTAAAATACAAGGAATAGGATTCAGGATCTTAGAATCCGTACCGAGTAAATCAAAAGACATAAATCCATAAATAGGAGTCTGTTAAGAACTCTGGATTAAGATCATTCTATATAGACCATCGGTAGACTCAATTAGAATTTCTATACTTAATGGAAATTATTAGAAATTCATATTGTGTCTGTGTCCTTGTTCCACATAATCTAATTATGTGAAATACACTCATTCAATATCTCACCATACTAACAATGCAGATAACACCATTCCATTCTAAATGGGAATGACATGTATTAATAATGTTTTAATTAAAGATTCTGAACTTTAATTAAATTCATTATGAACATCATTTTTGATTATTATCCTTAAACATTATCCTCTCGTATATAATACTTATATACAACGTTTAAGGTCACATAAATAATCATGGAATTTTCATTGATATTCATAAACTATTCATAAATATATATACATAAAATATGAATAAACTCTATAATTAAATAAATAATAAATATCCTATTTCTTCTAGTACACCATTCCCAACAAAAATTGCCCTCAAAAAATGAAAAAAAAGATGTCAAAAAGCCCCCCGACAAGCGTAGTGAGGTGTCTAGTGGCCAGGGGGTTCAAAAATTCACATTTTTGTTTATGTTTTGCATTCTAAAATTAATACAAGATTTTTAGGAATTAGTGCAATAAGCGACACAATTTTTCGATGAATATTCTACTTTTTTTTTATGATTTTCTCTATTTTTTGCCTTTCAAAAATAAAATAAAATAAAAGCGTCATAAAAAAAGTCTGAAAATTTGCAAATACAATACTTACCTTTTTCTGAGCATGGCAACCAAAAATCGCTTTAAAAAAAAAGAATTCAAAAAGTCCCACAGCGCACAGTACGCGCAACGGTCAGGGGGTGAAAAATTCACGTTTTATTTACGTTTTGCACTAAAATTAATACATGATTTTGAAAAATTAATGCAACAAACAGTACCATTTTGCGATGAATATTCTATTTTTTATTATTTTCTTTATTTTTTGACTTTTAAAAATAAAATACAATAAAAAGGACATCAAAAAATTATGAAATTTTACACACAAGATCCTTACATTTTTCTGAGCAAGCCTGTAAAAAATAGGCCTCAAAAAATGAAAAAAAACCAATGTCAGAAGGCCCCCGACATGCGTAGTGGGGCGCCAGTGGCCGGGGGCGTTAAAAATTCACATTTTTATTTATTTTTTGCAGCCTAAAACTAACACAAAATTTTTAAGAATTAATGTAATGAGTTGCACTAATTTTTGATGAATATTCTATTTTTTATTATTTTTTCTATTTTTTGCCTTTGCAAAATATAAAAATAAAAATGACGTTAAAAAATTCTAAAATGAAGTTGGATATTACACAAAGCGTACTAAATATCATTTTAATTTTGATATTACACAAAGCGTAAAAAGAATAGTATTAGTACGAGAATTGTCCCTTTTAGCCACAATAAAATACAAATAGTCGAAAAATCATCATAATAATCTTTTAACGACTGACATTTTTTGTCATGCTAAAAAGAGTTTTTTATAAAATATATTATTCAAAATTATTTTCTTATAATTAGTCTAGAAAACTATTGTGATTTTTTTAATTAACCAAAAAATCATTTATCCATCGCAATGGACATTCTCTTAAAAAGGTTATTATCATATCACCTTGCCATCACATAATCAGAAATTATCACATTAAGGAGCATAAAAAGGGGGAAAAAAAGAAGAAGATGATGAGAGTAATCCAAGAGCTTTTGGCCTGGGGGATATAAATAACCAAACGTTTTAGGGACCCCATTTGCCGCTAAAGTCATTTGAAAATTCATATTTTAAAGTAAGCACGTAAAAGGATTGCATAGATGAAATTTTCTTGTTCAAATTGTCATTGCTAAAAAGCAATTAGAATTTCAAACATTTTAATAAAAACGTA